CGCTCCCGACCCCCGACACTGCAGAGCGGGGCTCCTGCATCCCTGGGCAAGTCCCCCACCGCCGGGATCAGCCCGAGCCACATGGGTTAGAGCCCCTGTGCCAGGGAGCTGAGCTACCCCCGGTGGGAGGGGGGCAAATTCTCCATCCCTGCGCCCCCCTGCAGCCCAAGGACAGGCCCTCCAGCCTGCCCCGCCGCTGGGCTCCCCATGTGCCCCTTGCAGGGTTAGAACAGCTAATCCCCCTGGGGACTCCTCAGCTTTCTCCTATCGCCAGCGCCGCCGGCCCCCCAAGGCGAGCTCAGCGCTCAGAGGGGAGGCACCGAGGCGCCGCAGCCGGGCTTGGCAAGGTGCCCTCTCTGAGCATCCTGTTTGCATCCGCACCAGCTGCTGTGCGCCGGGCAGATGCCAGTGGGAGTTCTCCGCCCGGGCCTGCTCCTCGGCGCTCCCGCGGGGCCGCGCCCAGCGCCGTCGCCCTTCCACTCAGCGTGTGCACAGGGCGCGTGTGAACTGGTGCTGGTGTAGAGCGGGGGGGTGCAGGGAATGGGCGTGAGCGCGTGTGTGAGAGCAAGTGCGCAGGGCGGGTGTGTTAACTAGCCTGTTTGTGTGGATGAATGACCGTGCAGGGTGTGTGTGTGAACAGGGATGCGGGAATGCAGCAGGTGTGCACGTTGGCATGTGTGCGAGTATGAATCAGTGGGCAAGGAAGTGTGTGTGTGAATGGGTGTGTGTGTACCCAGGCCCATGTGCGCAAAGGTGGGCGTGAACTGATGTGCAAGAGCATGTCCCCCCGAGGTGAGGGAATTATGCCGGGGTCTGTCAGAGAGGGATGGGGTAGGGGGAAGGGCTGGAGGCTGGCGGTGCCGTTCTGCGAGGAAAACGAACGTGGGGACTGAGTCAGCAGCGCTAGTGCACGGAGGGGGGAGGGGGAGGGGTTAGGGTGTGGGCAGGAGGGGGAGAGTGCAGGGACGCTGAGTGTACAGGCGTGTGGGAGGGGATGTGTGCCCCAGTGTGTGCGCGGTGAGTGTGTAAGGAGGAATCTGGGAGTAGGGGGATGGATGAGCGTGCACGTGTATGCAAGTGTGTGAGCGCGGGGGGTGAGTGTGCACATGTGCGAGCAGGGTGAGTGTGTCTGAGGGACGAATGTGCAAATGTGTGTGTGAGGAGTGAGTGACGACGAGTGTGCAAGCACATGGGAAGGGGAGGCCGGGGTGCACCCTGAGGCTCACACCAAAGCCCTTTCAGTGCGGCTCTGGCCGCGCAATGGAGCCGGACCTGGGTCAGAAACGGCCCTGAGATTTGCCCTGCACCACCCCCACAAATTTAGAAAATACCGGACATACAAAATGTCCAGTATTTTCTGCTTTTCCTCTGTGCCCAGCAGAAATAAGCCGGGGCGGGGAGATTGGCTGACTAATTAAAGGGGTCACAACTGGATTTTGCTCAACAAAAATGTTCCTGGTGGGGTTTTTTTGTTTGGTTGGCTTCTTTCCCTCAACAAAAATTTTCCTGGCCCGGAACGGCAAGGGTGCCGGGATTTTTGCTGAAACCCTCTGGCAACCC